CCACTGCTCTACCCATATGAGCAGCAAAAACATGTTTTTACACCAAATATTACAGATTTGAACAAAGACGCACAAAAACATCAAAATTAGCACAGAAACAGTACTATACAACATTTTAGACACATCAGTTAAAAAAAGTTAATTTTGGGGTGAGTTACTCTTTAAAACATGACACCAATCAGCTTTGAAGTTGTTCAGGCTGCAGGTATTTCCATTTAAATAAAAGTCGAAGTATTTCCTCCTCATAGGCTCAGCTGTACTGACAGGAACAGGTAACATTAGGAGGGCTGGTCGGATAAACGTAAATACAAGACAGACTGGATTTTATCTTTACAAAACAAACTGGGAGCTCTGTGGATTCTGAAACTTTAAACACATTTCAACAGTTTGGATTAGAGAAGTTTCTCAAACACAATCAAATTGAAGCCATTTTTCTGCTACACACATGCTGCCTATAAAAATCACTGCACTACACCTGTAAGAGTCATACTGTCTGGCTGATGTTTTGTTCCTAGTTTAACCCTTTGGAACAAGGAGTTGTCACTTATATTTATGGTTTATTAAAACATGAATCAGCTCAGTTTGAACCAGAAGAGGACCTCACAGCTTTACATCCGTGTGTGTGTCCGGGTCTGCCGCTGCCGAGCCATCCTCTACTTTTAGTCTGTCCTATTCGACACAAGTATTAAAACACTAATTCATTTACAACAAACACAAAGAATTAAGAGGAGAATAAAAAACACGCGTTCCGCCCGATGTTCGCCGCCGCCCGGAAGCAGATAGCTAACCCACACCGAGGCTAAATGTTTCACCGCGGCTCTGAACCGAGCCAGAACCAAAGTCCGGAACAGAACCACGTTAACACGGTGGATCCTGAGGACAAACYCACCTGCAGCACTCAACACCGACAGGTCCTTTCTGTTCGGAGGACTGGGTCAGAACCCACTTCCGACTTCTGCTGACGACTGTCGACACACAGACACAGACACTTGGCGCACGCGCACTCACAGGCGGGTATAAACACGCTGGCACG